TTGGTATAAAAACAACCATCATATTTATGGAAATTTGTGGGCAAAATTTGTAGAAGATAGGTTCGGACCACCGTTCGGCTCATCCTGATCCAGTGATTAGTACTCGCACAGCAGCATACGACAGTGTGTTCGTACGAAAAGAGTTTATTATATATACAGTGTGGGGAGAGAAGCGGCTCATATACAGCGACAAAGTCTTCCAAGGATTTTCAACACTTTGCGCTGTGGTGCTGCCTACGCGGATCTAACGACATAGCCCATTCGATTCCCCCAACGGTGAATTTTTCGGCCGTTTCTCGGTCTCCAGTGGATGGCGCCCTGCTTAGTACACTATAAAAAGAAGATGTGTACTGTAACAGTGAAACCTTAGCATAGCATTGCATTCAACAGCAGCCTCTCCAGTTACTCGTACATCTCCATTTTTACGACCCATGAAACGGGTAAAACAATTCATGTAAAGCCGAGCCAGAAACTCTCAACATTCAATCACTTCTGGATAAAAATCCCCGTTCTCGGCAAAAAAGACTGGTAGCGTTTGAACTTTGGCAGGCTGAGTCAGTCTTCCGGTGACATGAAAGTCTGCGAACGTATACCAACTTGTTGTAAGAGTTGTATCACAGACTACTGACTGGCATTGGCAAAACGACCCGCCAGCTGCAAATAGGTAAGGCTAGGCAATTAGCAATTTTCTATATCATGTTTCTAAGGGTTTTTACCAGTTTTTTGTGCGTATCTGCTTGTTATGTCAGGTGTTTTGATATTGCGCCGGCACATTCGCAAAAACATAACTGCCAGAGTTTTTCTTGGAATTTAAGAGAAGTGACCGGCTACATGGCACCAAATTCGCGTACATGCACGAAAACTTTCACTATCTTGCGGTCCCAAACACATTTTTATTTGGTTCCTGTCATTCTAATGGCAGATGATTTGTATTCATTGGCGTGGAAACCGTTTGTGCGCGCAACATCCGGTTCGGAGTTAGGGCTGTGAGAAAATTCCAAAAAGTTTAAATGCATTCAGATGTTCCAAAAGTCTCAGTTACGGACCGATCACCTTCCAATTTCGCACTTAAATACAGTACACTAAGCATAAAAATCGTTTTACAACAAACCAGAGTTCCGTCGTTTTGTTCAAAATTTAAAATGAGTTTCAAAAATTTTATAATTCATTTTAAAATGTTAAAAAAATGCCAGAACAGTAGTCCCGTGTAAAAAAACGATCTGTATGCTTATGTGCGTTTCAGATGCAAAATTTGAAGAAGATCGGTTCATAATAAAACTTTTGGTAAACCTGAATGCATTGAAAACTTTTTGGAATTTCGAAGAGTCAGAGCTCCCCAACCGGATATTGCCTGCAGCGAATACCTACAGCGTGGGCACGATGGTAAAGATGATGCTGGGCAATCCGATGTGGAGTAACAACCCCATGAAGAAGAACGTCTGTATCGGCGCCCAGCAGACCACCACACTGATCGTCGTCAGCGTTAATCCGACGAGCGGTTTCACGGTTTTCTTTGGCGGCGATGGCTGTGCAGCGGTGGGTTGTGAATTCTGCTTGGAACTTTTTTTCTTGGCTGGAAACTTCCTTAGACTAATCGCAACGCTGCGGCGACGTGAATTTCTCTTCAGCCACAGTTTAACAATAATGAACACATAGGCGACCATGACAATCAGCATCGGGAGGAGGCGATTGATAATGTCATCGGCTTTATTAAAATCCAGGAAGTCGGGCGAATAATGCCCGCAGTCCTGGTACTTGGCGTATACGGCCGGATAATGCAGCAGTTGATCGACTAAAATGGCGGCAAAATCAACAGATGGACGTAGATAACGACGCCCAGGCAGATGAACACGGCCAAGCGTTTGGTGTGGCGCCTGCGGTAGGAGATGGGAAAGGTCACGGCCAAAACGGGAAACGGTGGGTAAAATACTGCCGAATATTTATATGATCATCGAAGGGTTTAGATTAGAGTAACTAAGTAATGAAGACAGCGCTTTCAATGTTACCATCAAACAACAACGCTTTGAGCGTTTCGTCAATGTACGCTTTATTTTCGTTTGACACACTCCATTGCTTAATAACTTTCTTATTTCTCAGAACTAGATCATTCGATTAAACAAAAAGACATCCTGGGGATGAGAATAGCACAGTGTACAGTATTGTACCTGCAACAAGAATTCCGCGGAAGTGCATGCAAGGTTTTTTGAAAATTCACGAAAAATACTAGCAGAATAGAAATGCGATATACATGAAATTCAGGCGAAGAAGGTGGGAAACTGATTCAATATTTCTACGGCAGAGACTTCAACAAGGATCCAGCGTCTTTTTATTGTGTGGTGCAGTATACTCTAGCACACTGATTTAACAGTACACACGACAAATTGAAATTTATAATTTTGTAAGTTTTAATTATCACACAATTACAGTCATGTTAACAAGGACATACCTAAGTAACCTAACTACAAATATTCGATTAACGATATTTTTCATCGCGCCGTCGGGGCAGGTAAGCCTGACTGCGGCATAAGCACTGTCGCCGTGCGTCGCGGGGATATACGGGCATCGCGGACACCTCAGCGTCACGATCGTGTCCGCGACTGTCGCGCGATAAAAGTTGGGCACCGATTGAGCCAGTTCTATCATCCACCTTTTTCAAAGGGGTCGATCTTGACAGAACGCGGTAGAGGTGCACTTATGGCACAAATGGATGTCTGAAAGCCGCATTCCGATTGATCCCTGTGTGCCCACTGGAATGGAACCTGCTAGGTTACCAGCGGAACGGTTAGTTTTTTTGGCGTAATGCTACCTTTCAAGTGCAGAGCATCGCCGTGCGTGTTTGAGCAGTTTGCCAGCCCAGTTCACTGGATCGTGTCCAATGTTGCCGGCCTGGACAGCATGCTCAGTATGTCGATGACTACCTTTTTCTGGGCAGACACGGAAGCAAAGAGTGGAGTACTTAATGGTCACCATGATTCATACGTGCGGTGAGCTCGGGGTCCCCTTGGCGCACGACAAGACTGAGGGGCCTGCGACTCAGCTGACGTTTCTGGGCATACACCTGGACTCAATTCGTCAAACCCTCAGTTTACCAGGCGACAAGCGACGAAGCATTGAGGAAGCACGCTATGACTGGAGCAACCGTGACCTGTGCACGAAACAACCGCTTCAATGCCTAATCGGAATTCTTGTCTTCGCTTCCAAGTGTACCTCAGCAAGCCGGCTGTTTACGCGGCGGAAGATTGCTCCCCTAGCCGACAACCGCCGCCGAAGACCTATTGTAATTACCGCTGAAACGAAAAAAGATCTCGACGGGTGGAGAGAGTTCCTCCCGGCCAGGAACGGCACAACTATTTTTATCCGCCCGAATTGGACCTGAGCTGACGTACTAAGCACTTAACCTGTATACAGACGCGTCTGGAACTCACGGACTCGGGGAATTTTATCAAGGGTCATGGTTCCATCTGCGCTGGCCACAGTGGATCCTCCAGCGAAAGCCGTGCATCGAGTATTTGGAACTGATTCCCACAGTTCTTAGCCTATTTGTATGTGGCTCGAGTCTGCGCGGGAAACGAGTCATCTTTCACTGTGAAAACGAAGGGGCCACGCTTGCCTTGGAAACCTGCGAACGACCAACGCCAGCGTGTTGGACCTTATGCGCAGCATACTAACGGTGGCCGCCTCCGCTAACATGACCTTTACGCTCAAGTATATACGCGCCGTTAACAGCGAGATTGCTGATTCTCTGTCTCGTTTTCATGGTCACAGGTGCTCGCAGCCTCGCACCAACAGCGCTGGAACATCCGGATCCATGCCCAGACATTTTCCCGCAACTGCTCCAAACATACAGCTGACAGCCAGCCTTGACCGGCTCCTAAGCGCTCACATCGCCAACTCCACGAGAAAGACGCACGACGCGCCGAATTCAACCAGTTCGCAGCGTCCTGCAAGTCCAGATTGCCAACTTCCTTGCCGGCTTGCCAACTTCCATACCGTCACCGAATACGTCGCTCGGTTATTCTCCACCAAGAAATCGTTCCGCACTGTCGCTGTCTACCTCGCCGGCATACACAAGCGCCACCGCGAAGCGGACCTAAAATCACCCATAGATCACGACCTCGTGGTGCGGGCACTGCAGGGCTACCGACGCCTTGCTGCCCCGCGCCCGTACACAAGCCAACCTGTGACCCTGCAGATACTGCGGTGCCTGAAACGCAGCCTTCGCCATATTGGAATATCTTCTTACGAACTGGCGATGCAGTGGGCAGTCTTTACCATGCTCAGGCATGCTGTATTTTGGTTTTCAACGTATTGGCGAAGTGCCCAGCCCACGAAATGACCGATGCGATGCTCAGCACACCCTGATTGCGGGAACCAAGTTATCGTGCGCCTTAAGGTCACCAAAACCGACCGAACCGGGCTAGGCTGCTCCGTAGCGCTGGCGGCCACCTGCCGCTCGATCTGTCCCGTGCAGGCGTACCGGCAGCACCTTGCCCAGTCGCAGATCATCAAACCGCCTTAAAAGCCCTTTCTTTGTTCACCAAGACGGCCGATTCCTTATCCGCACACAAGACCCTGTAGCTGTCAACCACAACCACGGTGGATAGTCGGTATTGTTTGGGGCAGTCGGGCAAAGAAGGAATGTCGGAAACTCATGGTCGAGGTCCGCTTGCCCAGACCTCGATTTTGCACATGCCCCGATGCGCCAACCTTTTCGCTCTCAGATACATGGCGTCCGTTTTCGCATTACCAACAAAGATGTAGTGTCAGCGGCTTACCGAATTTAACTTAGTAATTCATCCTTGTATGATATTATTATTAATATAAATAATATTATTATTATTATTAACATAAAATGTGTAAAATAAATGATACTTGTACAGAGAGTATGCTCGCATGGCTGCTTAGCAACGTCTACCCAAATTTCCCGTTCACCTACATATCCGTCCTGACCGGGGGCTTTCCCCGTAACATTATTGTCATCGTTTCCGACGTGTCGTTTCTCCTGCCGCGACATTATTTTCTCTAACCATGCCATGTTCGATTTCTTCTCACGTCTATTATAAAAGCGCGCACACGATTTTCATAAGAATTCCCCAAGTGAAGTTATTATTTTCATAGCGTCCTTTAAGCAGTCTCTAACCGAACCATGCTCGCGGTGCCAGTTACCGTGTTGCTGATCATCGTTGCTGGTCTGGTTAACAGTACGTACGTATCACAGTTCTTTCGCTTGATTGTATTAATTATGGTTGTTTGTATGTCTTGAATTCTCTTCGATAAGGGCGCTGACTAGTTACCCATGCCGTTGTTGTGGTGTTGAAAGCCGTTTGACTTCGATTTTGCGTGTGTGTGTGTGTTTTTTAAAAGGGTCAAGTTGTCAGTGAATTTTTTGCTGACCACTGTTTCTATAGTCTATGACTCAAAGCTATCTTATATTTATATTTAAGCTATCTTATATCTTATATAGCTATCTTATATTTTTTTTTATATATATAGCTATCTTATATTTTTTATTTTTATATTATTTTGTATCGGAAATTGTACCATTCTTTATTATTAAATATTTTGGCAATATAAAAAAATATTAAACCAATTTCTTAACAAAAATTACAAAACGCAGATAAATTCTTGTGGTAAATATTGTAATTATACTGTTGTGTTAGGCATTTATTACCGTGCTTTTTCAGCCTTTCATTGAAACACCGTCAACATCACTTGAAACTCGGTACTGCATAAGTAATGGGTTGCATTTGTCAATAAATACAACGCCATAAAAATTTGGTAACTCTGTTTTGTTATATGTACCGTAAATACCGTAAATTCCGAGTTAAACGCCCTGGCTTTTTTTTCGAGAGCTTTGGGAGGGGGACATCGTAATTTTGAAGAGGACATCGAAAACCTTTACATAGATGTTAATTTGTCGTCAATTTGTCCCTATTGCCCATGTTTGGTACTCGGCACGTGTTAATTGATGCCGCTGTTGTTTTGAAGGAGATGGTTAGAAATTCGTATTAGAAGCGAAAGCCATGCCAATAATCAAAGATTCTTGTAAAATATCTGCATGCAATTAGAAATTCGCGTATAGTATAAACATGGAAAATGAATTTTGTCCAACAGGTCAGGACGGCACCAGTCCGGCCTCGGCCGATCCTAAGCCGACAACGAGCGGTCTAAGCGGTGACGCCAGCAACAGCCCAACGCCCGGCACCTCCCCCTACCCCGATGTTGCCGATAACGCTACCGGCCAGCCGAATTCCGCCAAGCCAAATCGGGAACTTGGTTCACTGGGCGCCGACGTCTTCCTACCATCCCGAAAAACGCTTCCGCCCGACAATACCCCTCAAGGCCAAGGGAACGGTTCGTTCCGTACAGCGGGAGGCCAGCCGAACTACACCCGCGTGCCGCTGCATCAGGCCCAGATCCCAGCGTCAGTCCCGCTAAAACAATCCCGCCTCACCTACCGGCAGCAGTGGCAGGTCGCGGGTAACCACACCCTAATGGAAAGATACCAATTCCGCTATAAAAAGATAAAGGTCACACATCACAAACTTGCGTCAACGGATATGCATCAAAATCCAGCGAGCACACGTGGCTTTTACAATGGGAACAGCACCTCCGGCGGCGAATTTAAATGAAAGTATTTCTGTTTTTCGCCCGCCTTTGTTTATAGATACCGCTGTGCAAATCGCTGTCTTTCCTCTTCCGGATGTTTGAGAAACCTCGTAAAATTTGTTATCGGAATTTAGATGACAATTCAAACTGACGGCAACTTCAAGTACAGATCCTTATCGCAAAACCATGCATAATGGTTTTCGAAATAATTACAGTATTCACTGTTTAAGCCACGTATTGCCATCCTCTTGTTGGCGTGGTAGTAACAAGCAATAACAGTGGTATCACGTCTGTCGGCTTCCGCTTCGTTTGGAAATATGTGATTGGGTATCAGTAGCCAGGTAAGTCGTAATTCTGAGATATGTCAGTGCTTTATTTACACGGACTTTCAAATTTTAAGGCAGAGGTTAATACCGAGTTACCGGCAAGCGCTTTTAAAAATACTGTGGTCATATCGCTAATACGCAATCTGTTGCAACAGTGCGATTACGATGAAGCATATCTGAAAGCTACTTTATTCTGACATTGTTATCTGTGTGGCTGACTTTGTGGTTGTCAGATGAGCATTGACTGCCTCAATCGGGTCAATAAAAGCACAAAACTAACAGAATCTGAAACGCGTTTCAGACTGCAACTGTTTTATAAGCCTTCTGCAGTACTGTCAGACCGAAAGGTTAGCTACATTGCCAAGACTCCCTAGTATTTCCTTACAATTGTTAGAGGTGAAAAGCTTACGCTGGTCTTCAAACATGGGGAATATCATCCGTCGTCGTATGGGCACCGATGAGTACGACATGTCCGGTCAGTCTGCTAACGATCGATTAGTCGTACTGTTGCTCGGCGAAATTGGATCTGGAAAGTCGACCTTGATTAACTACATAACGAGCTATGTCAAAGGGGGCTCTGCGACGTCCCCACGCATTGCCATACCCACTGAATTCTACGAGGCTACCGAAGCCTGCGCGAACAGCGAATACGGCATCGGCGATCGTATACAAAGCAGAACAACGAAGTGGTAGGTGTGTGTATGTGCAAAGAAATAATTTTGCCGGCGATATTAATTTCGGCAACTACAGCATACTGCTCCATGAGTACGAAAAAAGGCGTACAACCTGAATAATAAAGGTGCCGCGCCCTTTTCAGCAATAGTTATGATTTCGAGGTGGACGGACTGCACTTCCGCTTCATCGACAGCCCTGGGCTGAGTAACACAAATGGCAAGGAAGAAGACGCTGCTCATGTGCGGGAGATTACGCAGACCGCGGAGAATGCCGGCGTCGTATCGGTCATTGTCGTCGTTCTTAACGGGACCATAACCAGGAACACGGACAATGTGCGTAGTGCTTTGATCCGGCTTGGTGGATCATGACCAGACGTTAACGCAGCCGAAAATGTGATTGTGGTTTTTACCCACTGCACGAGTACATCCTTCAATTATAACCTGGATACCCTGCATCCCTGGATACCGAGAGCAGAGAACTTCTTTTTCGTGAATAATACCGTGTTAAGTCAAGATCCACAGAGATGGCGCCAAGCGCCGTACACACAGCAAGGTACTTAAGGTTACCCCTATTTTGGCTTTTCTCAAAAAGGCCAGTTTCTCAAAACTTGCAATCCCACCAACTGAAGTGTGCTCTATCTGGTGGGGAAAAGTGTGTAGAAATATAGTAACTGGGAGGCGAGATATGAATTTTTAAAGTATTCGACCCAGAGGAGCCAGTACTGTAATTAATGTCCTGCCCGGCTTACCATTTTGCATGCCTCCGTATATGCAAGCGATTAGATTTGGACATGCAGTCAAATGAATGGGGAGCACCTGTTTGCGATTGGTATCTTTTGTTTTACTGGATCATAAAACCGTAGCAAAATGGATGCAAACTCTGAAACAACTAGCCGAATAAAGCAATAGCAAAGTACGGCTGGGTTTCAAAAGACTTTGATCACACATGAGTGTAGCTGGGCAGCGCACAATCGGCTGTCTAGTTGGTCTTTCGGGCTATTCCTGCGTGGTATGTGTGGTGAACTGAGACTGCCAACATCTTCAAATGAGATTTATCCCTGCATGAACTTTCGAATCCTACAGCTAAAAATGCGGTTAATAGGCTTTGAAAATTAACTAGTCACTAACGGAATAGAGTAGAATTTTGATATTTTGACAGTGGATGTACAGATATCGTAAAAGTCTAACTGCGAGGGCGATTTTGAAAAAAGTTTATTTTGCTCGAGTTATTGTCGAATCAAACAACCGACGAAGTGTTTTTTGCAAGTTGCAACTTTAAAATGGACTTTTTTCAAAAAAGCTCTCGCAAGGTGCAGGAGAATCGCGTTTTATATTTTACAGGCCGGTAACCAAAAATTTCAGTTCAATCTACTCAGACTAGTTAATTTTTAAGCGGAATTACCAAATGCTGAATTTTAAAGTTTACTATTGAACCTATGACACTGGTTACAGGGGTTGAATTTTTCATGATTTTAACTAAGAAACACTTTAGAATGGTCAAGACTGAGTTTTGAGTCGATATCGCAGGATCTCCACATTCGCGAACGGTAAAAGCCAAAATAGGGGTAACCTTAAGGGAAATGTGCCGGTAAATGGTGTTAAATTCGTGTGCAAGCCCAACAACTATCGCGCACTCCCAAACAGCTTTTGTGTTGTTTTACGGCATTTCTGTAGCCGAAGATTTTTGTGTACCTACATTGGCGTGAAAAACGATAGTACGCGCACATACGGTGAGGTTTTTAATCGATGGGTTGAAAAAATTTCAAAAAAAAAAATTTAAAGACAAAAAGGTGTACCAAAAGTCTTATTGTGGGTCGATTTGCCTTCAAACTGCAAAAAAATGCACGTTATAATAATCTCTTGCGAAGGCATCTCAACTATAGCAGGACATGTTACCATTTCATTTTTTTTAAATTTGTTCTTTGTATTGCTTTCTGATGCATTACGTCCGTTTTTTCCAGGTATGGAGGAAGAATGGGAACAATCCATGTGCGCAATAGGCAAACTGCTTGACAGAATTGGTCTGCTCCAGACAAAACGAGTGTCGATGAGCGACGACGAGGAAGAGGAGCAGGAAAAGGAGGAGGGAGAAAATGAAGAGAACGAAGACGACGGCCAAGACGAAGCCGGAGAAGAAGAAGCCGATTACGAAGACGAACACCAGAACAATTACCAAAATGAATGCCAAAATGAATACCAAGACGAAGGCCAAGACCACGAAGAAGGCTTCGACGAAGAGCAAGTGGAAGCTTTTTGCGAACTTGTACATTCGTGTTTGTCACAGTTGTGTAATTTGTTTTGCCTCTTGAATTCAAACCAATCTAATGAAGAGTAGAGCCATTGATCGCAAGGCAGCACATAAAGAGCTTTAAAAAAATTTCGATACTAGTAATTATGTAAATGTAGTGGCACACAACTGCATTGCGTGCGGCGCTCAAGTAGAAACTAACGGACATCACGGGTTATCCTGCAATACGTCTACCATGGGACGATGGGCGGGCACAAAGAAATGAACAGTATTGCTAAGAATTGTTGCGAAAGCGCCGGTTTTTCTTGTCAGCTAGAACCGACCGGCTTATCGAGCACAGGCGGAAAAAGGCCAGACGGGCTGACGCTGATTCCTGTCCGCCAAGGAAAGCCGCTGGTGTGGGATGTAACCAGTTGGTGCACGGTCGCAGACTCGCATGTTACCGGCAGTTCGAGGAAATCTGGACACGTGGCGCAGATTGCAGAAAATTCTAAACAGCGGACATATTCGTTTTTGGGAACGCGGGCTTCTATTACATCATTACTCGACAGCCGCAAAAGTCCACGTTGCTGCAGGAAAAGTTGACATTATACTGTAATTACGAATAACTTGTACTGCACTGCATTACACAGTATGTGATAGTATGCAAACGTTTGGCTGGCCACGCCCCTTTGACGATGGCAGATAAGAAATTTTTTTAGCATGCTACAATAGTACACTACCATTGTACAAAATATGAGAATTTTTTGAATTTGGAGGGGGAAAATGTGCCCTGGTCAGTTGGTTTTACATAAATCGGATTCAAATGCCAGCATTTAACTGCGTCTGCGTGAGAGGAACGTCGACATGCCTTGCCTCATCATTCAGCGGTTGAACAACTGCCTTTGTTCAGAACTGCATTTTTATTTAATCACAATCGATAAACTGTACATGCAAACGGAAAACACTGTACAGCTGTAGCAAACCAATCTTGTTCAGATCGTTCCCACGCCCAGTCACGTCATCGAGCGGCGACGAGCGAGGCTTTGATGCTCATATCCAGGTTCCCCTTTCCCACGTGTAAGCGTGCTTACCGGTAGAATCCGTCTGTCCAATCTGTGCGCGTCCCGCGTGCTTATCTCCTGAATCTGCGTTGATAAAGGAGTGAGCCAGCGCAAAGCGGCGCGGTGTCTTCCTGACAAAGAAACCGCCAATAAGCTGACGCTGACTCACAGAGGATCCGTGTCCACAGTGACGGCGCCGGCTTAGGCGTAAGCCAATCTGCTGTCTCGGCCACGCCTGTTCCCTCGTCAGGTTCGCACGCTGGTCGTCTTCCACAGACACCGTTCGCCGGCTTTGTGCTGCATGTGTATTGGACAGTCTTTCGTCTACGTGGTTGGTTTTCGTTACTGATTTAATTTCGGTTTAAACTTCGACGCAGAACTTAGAAGAGGAAGTGCAGCTAGATCTCTAATCGTTGTTCATTTTTTTCAATAATATTACCGCCTGTCAAGCATTTGGCGCGTGGTGAGATGTTGCATTTGTTTTCTTGAAGGAGCTTGATATTAGGTACGTACGTAAAGCTGTTTGTCAAAGCCTGATTTGCCGATACTTCCCAGTCTTCGTGGAGCTTTTGATTTTCGAGAGTATTACAGCAGTTTTCCCGCAGTGTTTGTGGGAACGTCCACTTCGAGTAATTTGCAGCGTTGACTCCGCAAAACAGTGTTTGATCAGCCACACTAACATTCTGCTAGTTTAAAATAGTTTATCGTAGTTTATCGTGTTTTTGTTTAGTTTAAAATAGTTTATCGCAGTCGAAAGCTCGGTCGTCTACTTGGATGACGTTTCTTTAACTTCGTTCGGTTTCATAGAATTCTAGAGCAACTGAGTTTTCGTCGGTTTCTTAGATTTCCGTAAGTTTCCAAGAAATCTTATTGTTGTACAAGCGTTAAATAGTAAGGAGCATTGTCAAAAGCATGCAACATATAGCACTAATGGTTTGACTGGTTGTTTAGAACCTGATCATGGACAGTGCAGGGAAACGCAAAGCGGACGACGCTGGCGGCAGTACTCCCAGGAACACGCGCGTCAAGTCCGATCCCGGCCGTGATGTCAACGCTAGCGTCAGCGGAAGCGGCGATCCGGAACGGGGCACACCGCCGCAGCTGGTGGCCGTTGTTACAGGCAAGTTTGTGGTGTACAGTCGCTGGTCGGCGGTGGAGGCGTATCTGTATCTGTAGATAACATTTTATTACGATAGTAAAAGCCGATGCCTTAAATGATGGTGTCCGGGTTTCTTTGCTACGTAGAAACGCCACAGCCAACGGCTTCGGCAGCTGGCCAGAACTTTCTGGCTGGGATGACCGCCCAGCCTCCGGCCACTGTCGCGATACCGGCGACAGTGGCCTCGAGTATCACCGCAAGCGCTCAGCCAGCCAATGCGCGCCAAAGCCTGCCCCCACCGCCGGACGATCCCACCGTGGCCGAGGCGGATCTGACACTCGATGCCTTACTGGCGCTTCTTCGGCGGGATTTCATTTGCTTCTCAACGGAAATGGAACTGTATCAGGTAAGGAAACTGGCCGAAGCCGGCAGGCAGTCGCACGACAATGATGGTGGTGTTAGACAGTTTGCGTCAAACGTTTTCGGTCCACATTTTGATAGGTTTCTTAGGTTTCTTAGGTTTCTTAGGTTTATTAGGTTTGAATTGCGGGATACGTGGTAACATTAATTTGTAATAGCTTTTCCTAAAATTAAGAGTGAATTCTTAATACTTGTGGACTTTAGATAAGTGTATTTCAGTTAATCGAAACTTTCGGTTCAATTTACCGTAGTGCTATTTTTCGCATAACTGCTACGCCGCTATACATAAACATTATGGAGGTATTTGCCGTTCTGTTTGTGTGAGATGGTTCTTTACGATTATCGTAGTTCCACGTGGGTATGTAGTCTGACACTCTTGTATAATTATGTAAATATTTGCTGTTTCGTTTCGTTCTTCATAATTTCGGGGTTACATAGGCGCCCCGTGGTGCAGTAAATACAGTACCACAGTAGATTGTACGCATCACGTGATAAGCTGTACCAAACGCTTGATGTGAGTGCTCTCCAAAATACGCCGTTGTTCTGAAAACCTGTCTGCCTTGCTAGAGAGTGATGAAATGGTTCCGCGTGGACTATCCGACGCGCTGGACACTGGAAAATTTCCGAGCCGTTCTACCGGAGTTGCGCTGGGATCTGCTGGGTGACGCGCTGTCCCTGGCTCTTCTCACCGCCACCGGGCCGCTGCGCGACGTTTTACTGGAGCTGCAGACACGCCTCTTCCCGCCCTCGTGTGTCCGCTTGACTGCCGCGCCGCGGGAGCGTCACTACACCGAGGTGGCCTGCCTGTTCTCCGCCGACGGACACACAGCCAGTCTGCGCTGGTACGACGCGCACCACAACATGCTGCGCCGCATCCGGTTGCCGGCGGAGCTGGCGTCGTGGAACACGGTCAAAGAGATGGGCCCGCTAGCGGACAACCGGATGTTGTTCCGCGTCCAGCACTGGATGTATCTGCGAGCGTACGCCTTGACTTTGATTGTGAAGAATGACGCTGGTGGTGTGAAAGCGCAGATGGAGTGCATTTTCAAGAACCACCTGACCGGTGCTGTTGGCCCGCTGGTCAGCCTCCAGGGCCGCGTGTACGGCTGGAGCACCGACACTTCGCCGTACGCGCTCTCCTTCGCGTACGATCCCGCAGCGCGAGGCTTTGATTACAGTATCCGTAATTCCACAGTCATTAGGTTAGTTTTTACAGCAAAGTATACAAAATATTGGCGTCCTGATTTTAAGTTTGTCCGAGTTGTTCGTTTAATTCCAGAAAAGAAGCGGCATTCGACGTGTGGAACAACCAGTACTTCATCATCCTGGGTGGATACCGAGCCATGGGCCGCGCCCGCGACACACTGCCCCTGGCCTCTGGAGAAATGTACGACGCGGAGACGAACGCCTGGAGCGATCTGCCGGCGATGATGCAGCAGGCGCGCTGCAATTTCGCCGCGAAAATCTACAATGGCTACCTGTATGTAACGGGCGGAGTCGGGTTGATGGTGCCGTTTGGAATGACCGTCCTGAGCAGTTGTGAGCGGCTGCAGCTGGGCGTGGCAGGCGCCCAGTGGCAGCGCCTGCCCGATCTGGTCGTGCACCGCTACGGACACTGCATGTTCGTGCTGGACGACCAGCTGTACGTGTGCGGTGGGTGTTGCCGCGACGGGGCGCCGCTGACGGAATGGGAGGTGTACGATGCCGCGTCGAGCCGCTGGAGTGTTGTGCGCCCGGTAGAGCTGCCCAGGGCCCGCGCCGCACCGGTGGCGGCCTGTGTCACGCTGACTGTTAACTACAAATACTGAACGATTTGCTTGTTGTTTCCTTCAGTTTCTTAGCAGTTATTGCCATCAGCACTGATTGGCGAATCTGTGTTTGGTGCAGCCTCTGATAGTAGTTTCTTTTGTCGAACATTACCAACCTCCAACCAGGTCTGGAAATAGCTGCGAAATGGAATTCGGAATGCAGATTAACTGAGATAATTCTGTTGTTTGGTATTGCCAGTTTTCAGTGATTACTACGCTGTTATAAAACTGTTGTGTCTGACTGATAAGTGGTGAACCTAGTAATAGTTGTCCTTCGTAATAAAAGTTCCTGCTGCAAATCTGTTCTGGGTGTTATTAAGAAAAATAACAAGTTCGCGGCAACAAAATTGTTACAAGTAACAATAAATTATAGCAAGTTCACGTAGCCGCACCACTGTTTACTGAGCAGAGCAGGTTTAAACAAGAAAAGTGTCAGAAGGAAGGTCTAACACCCCCTTCCAAATACAGATATATCTGGGTGTGAGAGAGAAGAACGGGTCTCCCACAGAAGAAGAATTTATTGCCCAAATAGGGAAAAACACAGAAACAGGGGAAAATGGGGTGCAATAAACTGATCGTTTCCATAGGAAATGCATGAATTGTACACCAGCAGCCACCTGGGGCGGCTGCTCCATATATCAAGCACACAGCGTCACAAAAGGTTACTGTTAAGTGCCACCAGCGACCGCTCAATTAACTGGATTAATTAAGCGGATTTCACGGTTTTTTGATTACAGCACTAACGGTGTGTCGTGCTCGTAGATATTGTAAAATTTATTGTAAGGTAACTTAAAGTAACAGCCGCGCTACCGAACATAATTAAATAAAAACGTGATGAGACAGTCGAATATAGCGACCACAGTGCTCTACAGAGTGCCTATTAAGTAAATTGCATCAATTTGCATGTAATCAGACAAGGTCAGTCATTCAGAGTTCAGACTCATTCTCACATTAGTACGAAATTGCAATGTAAGTACGGTGCACGGTAGTCACGGTGTAATCACGGTGTAATCACGGTGCACGACGTAATCACGGTGCAGCCACAATAAATGTTCGCCAGCAGTTACTGCCAAACCAAACTGGTAGAAGGTTAAAATTAACTAGTATAGGTCTCAGCAGCCCTAAGGGCAAGCAAGCGAGCGACATGTAGACATTTAGACATGTAGCGAGCGACATGAAGAAGTTGAACAGAATGAAGGATGGCTACCATATAATGCAGCTGTGTGTAGACAGTAGGAGTTCAAACACCTAGTACTGTACTGCTACCCTGCACTTGTCCATTTATTTTGCAGTGCAGGCGCACGTTCGTTGTATGAGCCCATTCAGCTCGCTGTTCACGATTCACATACACGGCCTACAACTGCGTGCAGAGAGCAGGCAACTGATTGAACGTGAGCGGCTTTAGCTCTCACTCGCCTACAGAAGTCTACAGTGTAGACGACTCAAACCGTACAAAAGTCTGGACAAGTGCAGGGTAGCAGTACAGTACTCGTATATTTTTTGCTTAAATCGACAACTAAACAACAGAAATGGCACACGAAGCAACGTGCAGAATTATTATTTTATTAATTTCTAAACACAATAACGCTGTATGATATGGGATGACCTTATTCAGTATATATGGTTGACAAACGGCACGTATTGCGTTCACATGATCTAAATGCAGAAACCCTTCCAGTTAAATGAGACGGAACAGCGCCCTAAAACACCCTGAGCATTACCATTGTACAGCTTAGGACAAAATGGTCGCATACCCAACATCTCCACATTCAGTACGAATGCAGCGCAGTGCACTGTACGACTGAGTTCAAAATATCCGTTTCGTACAAGTGCACTGCACCGCTTGCGTACAGAATGCTGGGTATGGGGCTATGCGACCATTTCGTCCTACATTGTATGATTATTTTTAACGGCATTTTAATGTAGTTTGTAGTGTTGATGGCCTGGTGCAAATAAGGGCTTGTCTCAAAATTATTTTCTTAAAGAGTAATAGTTTCCTATGGTACAGGTTAATAGTGCGGCAAAATTTAATACGACTGCAACCTGTTGCTTTGTGCGAAATTCTATTATTGCACCGATATGTTGGAGGTATACCGTCAGCATTAAATTTTCGTTTTATTCGAAAACTAAGTTCTATCAGTAAACACGATTATTTATTGTTTTCTTGGTTTTGAATTTTAATTTTTCTCGATAAAACTAATTAGCAGAATATTACGGATGATTAAGAAACCAGACGCCACCCTCAATGTGGAGAAATGCTGCATGTTGGGAAAAGATTTGTAAAATTGTTGTAAATAATGTAGAATGACGCAAATAATATAATTACACGTTTCATCAAACAATCGTAATTACTACCACGACGTCACGGTTGCGATGCCAGCTGAAGTAAGATAAGCCTCAACTTCCGTAACAATATATACTATGCAACTGGGAAGCACTGTATCTGTACTGTCGAGTAACCTTGGCACTTTTTTGAGTGGCGAGATGCATCCGATTTAAATGGCAAGTAACTCAGTGTACGAAATGGGGCTGCCTAGTAAGTCGAAAACAAAATTTCTGATTGTGACGTATTTTTAAAACAGCTAAATTTTAATTCAAGATATTTCAAAATATATCTAAATATATTTGCACATATTAAAAGTATTTATAAATATATTTTAAAATATTTACAAAAATTTGATATTATTTAAAAGTATGTGAAATATTTTTAGCAAATACTCTGTATTTGAAATTATTTCTTAAAACATTTAGAAATATATCTGAAAATTTTCGAAATTTCCAGATATTTTCAGATATAACAAATTTAAACGAACTTAGGTTATTTAGAAATAATCAAAAATACTTAAAAATTTATTTGAAAATATTTAAAAGCACTTAAAAATATTATGAAACGAAATCAAAATTATTTTAAAATACTTAAACATACTCAGAAATATATGAAAAAAATACTGCGAAATATTTGGAAATATTTGCAACGGTATTTAAAACTGTAAAGACATTTTTATAAATACAATTTAAAACATTCAGTAGAACTTTACAATATCTGAAAGTAGGTAAAATATTTGCAAAATTGTTTTTAGAATTATTTCAAAAATCATTTAGAAATATTTAAAATCTTTAGAAGCATATTTAGAAATATTAAAGTTTTTATTCAGGGATATTCAGATGCATTCAGAAATATTAGAAACCTTCAGAAATAAAATTATAAATTTTTTGAAATACCTAAAATATTTAGAAATATCAGGAAGCATATTCAGAATAGTCCGCTACGATTTCCATAGCGAAAAGAAATTGTCAGCGTTTTTGGAAAATTTAGCGGAACTTAACTGTAATCAAATTCTAAACTAAAACAACGGAGCCTAGCGGCTTTACCATACCATTTAGCGAAACTTAGCTGAATCGGAAAAAATTTTTTCATTTCTTAAAATTATAAAAAACTGTCCGCCGACGCACCTGATACAGCAGAATTTAAAGATGCAGCCACGTTTCGCGCGAGGCTGACGGGCAAATTTTCTAAAGATTTGTTAGAAAATACAGTAAAAATTATAAAAATCGCAATAAAATTCCCTCTAATTGGCGGGATTTTTAGCGAACTTGAACACCGGCAAATCCGCAATAACTGAGCGAAACGAATGTTCAAGCGCAAATAGCGAAGCTTAGCGGAGCGGCGTCTGCTAGCCCATGAGACCTGCGCGAAGCTTAGCGGACCGCTACGCTAACTGTCGTTACGCTTCGCCATTGCAGCCGTTTACGGAATCTGATTCAAAAGCATAAAATATTGATAGAGTTTCAGAAATAAAATTGAAAATAATAAAAAATAAGTAAAAAGTATCGAAATATTTGTAAATGTATTTAAAACTATTTAGAAATATTTATAATTAAAAGATATATTTCAGTAATGTTTGTAATATTATTTATTAACCATATTTATCATATTTTAGTAACATTTATTATATTTAGAAGTAGTACTCAATACTTGCAAAAACTTAGAAATATTTTGAGAAATATTTCTAGAAACCTCAAAATATTTTTAGAAACTCAAAATATTTCTAGAAACATTTAAAAATACATATCCGAATATTAGAAATCTTTAAAAATATATTTGGAATTCTGTAAAAAATATTATAAGATACTTTAAGAAGCATTTTCCAATAACGGGAAACAATCAAGTAGACTTTTAAACGTTTAATTTGCTTTACTTATTTCATTAAATATATAGATTTATTTTTTTTTTAAATATTTATTATATTCAAAAAAACTTTAGAGTATGAAAAACAATATTTGGAAACAAATTTAGAAACATTAGCAATATTCAATAGAATTCTAAAAAATATATACTTTCTTTTAATAATTTCATCAACAACTTTAATGATCTATTATTTTAAATATTTAATTTTTTTGCAAGTATCGGGGAATATTTTCAAAATTATTTAGAAATATATTTAGAAGAATTCAAAACTAATAAATCCAAAGAAAAATTCAATTTTTATTTTTATTTTAGTAATTGGTTAAATTTTTTTAACCTATTTTAAATGTTTAACATTTTTTAGAATATTTAAAATTTTTTTGAATTTAGAAACATTTGGAGATATTTGGAGAACAATATTTGGAAATAAATTTTTGACTTTCAAAATATTTAGAAATAAATATAAAAACACTGGAAGGCTTAAGTAATAAATTTTGAAATCTTTAAAATAGTTTAGCGCTTTTTAAAAATATTAATTTCTTAGAAATTTTTTTTGGTAATATTCAGAAATTTGTTTAACGAAACTTTTAGAATTACTTAGAAATACTTCGAGAAGTATTTGAAATAATGAAGAGTATTTAGGAAGATTTTAAAATATTTATTAATTTTAACTTTTTTTAGATTTTGGTTGTATTTAAAACTAATTAACAACAATGAGGCACCTTCAAAAAATCTTTCAAAATATTGGTTAAGCACTGCTTGAAATAATTTAAATGAGCTATACAAAACAGGTCAAAATTATTCGAAAATGTTTTAAAAGTATTACTTTTCTGTAAAAGCAGCATATTAAAACCCTAGATTATCCTTTCCCTAGTTTATACATCAAAACTTTGTAAAAACCAACCCGGGTACTTTGGTTAGACTTGCCACATCAAACTACATCAGAAAAGTGCCAAATCCCGGTGGCGACCTCGGGGACCCAGCGACCTCGAACCCGGGTTCTTGGGTTCCTCGATGCCATTCGACTCAGCATGTCGAGTTGTGTAGGTTAGCAGCAAAATCTCAGTAGCGAACCCAGGAACCCGGGTTCGAGGTCTCCGTGTCACAGAAAAACTCGAATCTCATCTATAATAACGCAAGCTCGCTTCGCTCGCTTGCTTGATAACAGTGTAGTCATGCATATATGCAGTTTCAACAGACTGGTTCGTTAACAGAATATTCAGTACGAGAGAAACTGAAAAAATCAAGATTTGTAGAAAATGGCACTTTGCTGCAGTCAGCTGGGTAGTACAGATCTTCGACCGTGTATCCTGTACTCTGAAAGACGTTCTCGACGTAGAAAACATCGCCGGCGTTAGGCTTAGCAATCAGGGTTTGGCTGCTCCGTATCCAAGATCGGAATTTCGAATACTGACAGCTGCAGTGAAGGTCTTGAATAAATCGCAGATAAGGTAAGCCGAGCCTTAACGGCTGCTCTTTCAGATTCTTTTCCGTACTGTACGAAAGAAACTCCAGACTTAGCAGTTTCAACCCGGTAAATCAGAAAAAGCGTTCCATTCGAGTGAAAGAATTGTGCTTCGCGTGAACAAAATAATTGTCAATCTGTGAAATCCCACGAAGTCCTTCTTGTATGAGTAGGTCACGACAATCCGATAACTGGAGCATCAGAACATTGTGGAACCGAAATTTTGCTAGGTCATTCGTGGAATGAGTGCTCGAACATTCAAGAAGCGTGAAACCTGACACCTGTCGGCGAATTGGTGTAAACGTATCAGCTGTAAAATTTACCGCATCGTACCAGACCAGATTTATTGCATGCAGAGATTTACTGATTTCCGTGATTAACGGTCGTAATTTGTCGAGTGGCGGATTTCTTTCGCATTCCAGACGGAGAAACGGTCTGCTACCGCAGTTGTCATCGCCGCCGAAACAAGCATAACTTTTCAACGTAGCGCACTGTTCATCGGTGAAGCTCAACAAAGTGACAGGAATAAATGCCGGAAACGGATCAATATGTGTAATTAGATTTGCAGTGGTGCAGTTATAGGCGTTATGAAGTTTGACCGCATCAGCGGTGCTTAAGCCTCGACGCTGGCCCATTTTAACGTTTCCTCTTTTCTTCGGCAGTAGAACTGGCTGGGCTCCGTTGGCAAAATCGTAGGGGCCAAAATGCATGATGGATTCCAAATCGTACGCAGTTCCATAAGAATCCATCTGTGGTAGTATTCGAAACGACGCCGACGCGTTCGTGCTGTTTGCATTAAAATGCACGTAGCTGTCCCGATCCGGCCGTTGGTGCTCGTGAAAGAATCCAAGAGAATGCAGTACTAAATGCTGAATGATTCCTCGAGAAAGGCAAGCCGGCGTCAAGCTTATTATTTGCGGACCTCCTTGTCTTCCAACACTCGATCGACAGCCGGAGCTACTGAAATCAGTGAATCAAGAAGACTTGTAATCAACTAGTGCGTCACAGTTAGTTGTAAAGAGTACTAGGGACTGACTAGGCAGTAGGCATGCTTACGTGTTTGATAATGTAAAGATTATGAAATCCGGTTCTGCCGCCTTTCGGACAAACTTGATACACTGATCGGTTTTGTGGTGAATCCCGTCGAGAGCAAATTTAATCTTCATATTGTCTCGCCAGTCTGAAAGAACCGTAAAATAGGGATAGCTTAGCGACGCAGTTAAATTGCTCCAATTTCTACTCAATGTTTTATCGATGCTTTCCCGGAAAAATGTCCCTTGCTTGAAATCAGCTTACCGAACGCTTCGCTGATGACATAGGGAACAGTTCCTTTTGGAAAAAGACGGTGATTAGGCAGCTTGCCGGCCATGATGGCAGAATCGCTTGGGTTGAGAAACATCTTGAAAATCCACATTTCCTTGATGGTCGGTTGCAGCAGTATGGATTCGTGATCGTTGTTCTTTTACAGTGCTTCTGTGTACGTATGGCACTATAAAGGCAGATATCCAAAGGATGAACTAGGTATGTATCAGGGCTTTCGTATAGGGATTGTAAGCCTGCAACAGGGCTTCCGCGCATGGTTATACTGGGAACGCAGCGGGCATGCATGTCTCATGGCTCTTGCGCCTGTTTATTACAATCATTTCAAGTTTGACCATTGTAATTACGGGAACTTAAAAATACCGATTAAATCATATTGCGAGCGCAGGCGTACATGCGTACACCCTCGCTTTGGCAGTCTGTTGTGTCTTGCTGCACGCCCTGCACGCCCGCCTTACGCGAGGCGGAAGCATGGTGTTCTGTGCGCACCCGCACTGTGTGGCGGCTACGTGCGCATTTTCCACGCTTGCTGCAGTCAGCAATGCGGAGTTGTCTATGAGGAAATTCTATCGAATTTAGTCTTGCTCATAAAGTTCTTGCAATCGCGTCGTTTCTCGCTTTCCATAGCGTAGGCGCTTTATAGCATTGCTAGATCTGTTTGGCAGCCAGAATTCCGTTAATTCTGTTCTGCGCGTGAACCTTCACCAGGTCCACGCTTATATGGTAGCAGGAGCTGTGTTTCTCCAGAATAATCTCTGAAGTTTTTCCCGTCCATTTGACGAGGTGTGGAAGAGGTCTCCCGCGAGAAAGGGCTCGCGTACTGATCAGTGGCGAAGGAGCGTTTGGATCTCAGCAGATCAGCACCAGTGTGTCTCTACTGAGTAGAGCACGCTGTACTGACCTGACGCGATCAAGGCTACTGAAGTAGCTTTGATTGGAGGGGCACAAGCGCCGAAAAAAGATCGCCGCAAAAGGCAGAAGCCCGAAGGGGGGCACGAGTGGGCAAGCCACTTTTGGCTGTCGGGTGTGGAGTTTTCAGGTGCGTCTCTACTGAGTAGAGCGCACACACATTATACGCGCTCCCCCAAAAAGGAGGTCGAGCGCCCCTGTCGTCGCTAACGTCAAGGCGCGACAGAAGACCCGCAGCCAGCACGTCTTTTGGTCGACGCACCGCTGCGTCCTGCTGATACGAAGCAGAAGGGGTTATCGGCTGGCCCAGGAGAAGTCAGCTTAATCGCTGGAGGATCGTCTGGAGGATTCGCGGAAGGACGCGGGATCGATTCCTGGACTCGGAAGACGAGCAGGTCAGAATTTCAGTTATTAATTTTACCATTGGTCGATAGGTAAAATCCTTAAATTTCATTCGTCGGTTCTGAGCTGAGCAGAAAAGTAGGCGTAACTTTTGCGCACGGCGCGCTAGCAAAAATTTTCGGATTCGGTCGTGACGTCACTCTGCCTTATAATCTGAAAAACAACGTTTCTGATTGGTCAGTTATTCGCACTGTGATTGGCGCAGTAGCGTAGTTAGGAAATTAGCCAATTAGAAGCTGAGATTTCGATAGGAGGCGGAGTTTTTGCGCACGGCACTTAAGATCGTGACGTAGCCAGCTGAGAAAATTTTCTCAATCGACTGACGAGAAGTTGACCTTTACCAGAAATTTTGACGAGAATGGTGACCTTTAATGATAGTTGAAAGCTGAATAAATAACGTTTATTTTGAGGAAATCTGAGTTGATTCCTCAGTAAAATCCAAAAATATCCTCAGGTTAAACGTTTTTGATCGAAATCGATCGTGACCTTTAAACAAAAAAGTTCTGAAGGAAAAAGTGACCTTTAACGTGGCGGAGTAGGCTAATAAGCTGAAACAGTGGAAAATAAGTTTCATCTTACTAAAAGGAGTGACCTTTAGAAAAGACTAAGCTCTTTTGGAGGCAGAGTGACCTTTAATAAAGTCGAGCTGATACAAAGGAAGGTGACCTTTAGGATAGGGCTTGTTTCTGTTTACGTGTAAAAGGGCTTACGTAGCTAAAACTAACACACGTGTCAGAAACATTAATAGCATCGTCCAAGTTATCCGATCATCAACGGAAACCAAAGACATGGATCAAGATACAGACGGTAACGAACCGGTCTCAACGGGTAGTCAGAGAGAACGGTCTCGGGGGTCAGAAAACCCTTACGAACGGAAAATAAAGCCATTCACACGACCAGTAGAACACGAAAGAGCAACTCGAGCTCAGAAGACCTTTGGGAGGAAGGACACCAGAGGCTCAGAAGCCACATATCAAACGGCTCTGAGAGAAACTCAGAATGAGAGCTCGAGTGACGGAAATGGAAAAAGCTCCGAGCGACATGCCGGAGATAACACGGTAGACCAGGCAAAGGTCACCGATGAGAGAATGGTCACAGACGGAGAAAACAAAGATGACCTGAAGGCCGAGACCGGAGGAATGGCACGGTCGGCCGAAAAAGTCAAGGAAAAGGCGGAACAAGAAGAGAAGGGAAACGATGAAATCAGTCAAAAGGTCACCGAAGGTGGTGACGCTGTCAGCGGCAACGAGCCGATTGACGAGGAAAAGGTCAAATTGGATGACCTTTCGGATAACTCATTGCTCTCTAAAGAACAGCTGGAAGAAAATGGTACCAGCCCCGTATCAAGTGAAAAATTTTACACTGACGATGAGGATGAAACGACGATGCAGATATCCTTCCACACTGCAATGAAGGAAGCTGACTTAACGAAAGGGATTGTGCGAACGATCGTTCATGAAAAGTTGGAGGAGACCTTTGAGGGAATAGCGTCAGGAAAGGCTGACAACGAAAGGTCATCAACACCTCCCGTATCGAATGAAGCGAAACAGCGAATCAGAGAGCTAGAAAAGCTTCTCGATGAAAAAGATGAGCAAGCATTTGCTGCCCTACGAGAACAACGAAACAAAACCATCGAAGTCGAAGCAAGAGTATTCCAATTAGAACAGGAAAAGGTCACGCTGGAAGAAGAGGCAACACAATGGAAGGTCAAATATGCTGCCCAGAGACAGGCTGCGGAAGAGCTGAAGAAAATGGTAGACGATAAAGACATGGAAGGAATCCTCGCAGTAGAGGACCTCAACAACAGTCTGTCCGAAGAATCAGCTGAAGGGTCACGAGAGATAGCGGAATTAAAGAATGAGCGTGACCTTTTGCAGTCAAAGGTCAATGAGGCCGAGAAGAAGCGTGATGAGTGCTTGGCCAATGCGACAAAGTTCACAGGGAAGGTCTCCAGCTTAACAGCAGACATCTCAAAACTAAGGGATGACCTTAAGTCACGCGAGGATAACATCAAGACGTTGCAAACGGAATTACAAGAGCGGAAAAGGAAGCAAAACGAAGTAGAGGGCCAGAGAGATCAAGCAGCGAAGGGGCTCCTTGAACTGGCAGAAACGACGAAGATCGAACTCAAACGACTAAGCGATGAAATCGACAGTCAAAAGAAAGAAGTTAAGAAGTGGTCAACCTCAGCACAACAGAGTGACGAACGGGTCACCGTGCTAGGGGTTCAGAATAGAGAAGGGCAACTGAAAACTGAGAATCAAAAGGAAGAAATCGCTAAATTAAGCAATGAACTGGTAGAAATGGCCACCTCGGTAATGGAAAAGGATGATAAAATCACCGACTGAAAAGCTCAAGAAGACAAAAGACGAACAATGCAAAGCGAAACGGAAGAGTCTCCGCACCCGGGATATGGCGAAGTCCACACGATTAAGGAAGTTCATTTCAAAGCTCCCTTAAAGACGGGGACTGGCCGAAGCGACGGCCATGATGAAGATAAGGTCAAAGCTGAAAAGGTCACCGACGATACTGAGTTGGCGAAGGGGCACTCAGGACCGATCGGTGGGGTCAATCCTCGGCAACAAGAAACAGGACCGAGGGAAACAATCGTCTAATCGTCTACAAATCTGACCATCAGCCAGATAATCACGAAGATCCACGAGTTCGCCAAAACGAGCAGGAAAGGGTAGCTCGTGAAGAGGAGAGGCGAAAGAGAATACCGCGCGGAATACCACGCTGAAGCACAGCGACTCCGTCGCGAAGAACGGGAATTCAGAGGTTACATGAGAGCCATGGCCCGGAAATCCGCGTTGATCGACTACAACGGCAACCGAGAAGCTTTACTTGGTTGGATCCGTCAGGTCAAGGAGACTCAGAAGACGTGTGACCTTTCGGAGGCAGCAATGATGCTGGAAGTCGCCAACGCAGTCAAAGGGGACGCGAAGGCATGGTTTGACGCGGAAAGAGAAATCGATGATGAAGAAGAGGCGGAAGAACTAACCGTCGATGAATGGATGACGAAGTTCAAAGAACACTTTGGCGATCGTGACGAAGGGGTCAACGCCTTAAGGGAAGCTATGAAAAGAAAGTTTGAGGCCGGCAAAGAAACGCTTGATCAATTCTATCAGGCGATCATGCGCTTCAAATCGAAACGGATCATTACAGAGAAGCAGGCCATCGGATTCCTAATTCAAGGATGTAAGAACGACAGTGACCTTTATAAGGCACTCCGAGCACAGAAATTCCATAACCCAATAGATATCAAGGAATTCTTCCGCACCTGGTCGACTGGCGAAGAAAAGTATAAGGTCACGAGAGGCAACCGAGTCCAAGATGATTGCGTGATCATCCGATCGGGCCAGATCGAAGAAGTCGCGAATGGGCGACAGAACCAGTCGTGCTCGGCGCAGGCGCCAGGATACAATACGGAATTCCCGCCGTTAGGCACTCAAGAGATGACCTTTGGCAACGGTCGAAATGAAGGTCAGGTATCGTACGCGACGATCGCGGCGATCCAAACGGCCGTCCAAGAAGTAACCAAGCCTGCGATCGCGGCGATCCAAGCATCAGCTCAGCAAGCAGCAAGGCCGAAACAGAACCCACAAGAAAACGTGCAAAGAAACGCCCTGAATGGAGGGCTCGGTGGCCAAGGAATGGCTCAGGCGAACCCGGGCTTTGCTGGCCAGGGATTCAACGGTGGCGGAGGAAATCAAGGAAACTTCCGACCGAACCGTGGACAAGGAAATAAAGGACCACGATACGGGTCGCGAGTAGAGCGCCTGTTCACCATGATCGACGGATGGATGGCCAATAACGCGCTGACATGCCATAACTGCATATACGGCAACCACTACACACAAGCGTGTTCGTTCGCGGGAACACCGTGGAATCAGAACCCCAACCGGGTCGTGTATGAAGAATGGTTGATGCTGCGTAACAATCATGGCGGATGGCGCAACGCAATGGCAAATGGTTATGTGCCACAATCACGCCAATGCGGACGGTATGCTGGTCAAGGTGGCCAAGGGAACTTCGCCGGTCAAGGTGGCCAGGCCAACTACAACAATCAAGGAGGCCAGGGCAATTTTGGCGGCCAAGGGAATTTCGCTGGTCAAGGTGGCCAGTGGAACAACGGAGGTCAAGGCAGCCAGGATAACTTCGGAGGCCAAGGTAACTTCGCCGGTCAAGGTGGCCAAGGCGGAGGAAACGGCGGATATGGCCCGGTTAGAGGCGGCTTCCGAGGTAGAGGCAGAGGCCGCGGCGGAAATCGCGGAAATTACGGCGGCGGCCAATGGAATGGTGGTGGTCAAGGTGGCCAATGGAACGGTGCTGGTCAAGGAGGTCAGTGGAATAACGGTGGTCAAGGTGGCGATAATTTTGCCGGTCAAGGTGGCCAGGGCAATTTCGCCGGTCAAGGTGGCCAGGGCGACTTCGGCGGGCAGCAAGGCGGCTTCGTCGGTGGGAACCAGAACGGTTTCGGTCAGCAAGGCGGAGGCTTTAACTTCGCCCCGGCGAATGGTGCCGGTCAGGCGCAAGGTGCGCCAGTCCAGGGAATGGTCCAGGGAAACGTTCAAGGTCAGTAGGCGCCGGTGAGCCTACTTATCGTCCGGAACCGAAACCACCGGATATAGAGGAGCAAGGTGCTCCGCTGCAGGCAAAGACCGCAGCGAGAAAGGGATGCTGCGAAAGTAACGCAAAGACCCGGAAAAGAAATCCGAGGATTCGAGAAAATAACTCGAAATCGAGCGAAGGGGCTCATAAAGGACAAGAGAAGGGTTTAAAAAGACTGCCGCAAGGACGGAAGAATTTGACCGAAAGGTCACCGCAGAAAGTAACTGCGGGGAGTCAAGAAAATAACTTGACTCAACCGGGGCCGACCGAAAGGTCACCGCAGAAAGTAACTGCGGGGAACAGGGTTGACGGAAGGGCCTCAACTCTGCATCCGGGACAGCAGAAAGTAACTGCAAATCAAGAAAGTCACGAAAGTAACGTGACGCTGCAAGGACAGCAGACCCAAAGGTCACCGCGGAAAGCAACCGCGAGGAAGAGTGAAGCTACTCTGCGAAAGACGCAAGCGGAAATCTCAAGCGAAGAGGATGATGAAACACATCACGCGAGATTCCGAAAGTTCGTCGAAAATACGTTTGAATTTGACAGAATGACCGTAACCGTACAACGAACGCATGAAGGCGGTCCGGATAGACCGAAATTCCTTGAGCAGATGGCAAAAGTATTTCAAGCAAGAGCTGCCGAGGAAGATCACGGAAGGGCCGTGACTGCGCAAGGAGCGCAAGAGACCGAAAGGTCACCTTAAGCGAGAGTTGAAGAAGTGAAAGGTCACGAGAGATTGCCAGTGCAGCAGACTCAAGAGTCACTGAAAGAGAAAGGTCACGGTGAAGTCGCCGATGAACCGAAAGGTCAAGAAAGTAACTTGACTCTGCGAATGGCGCAGCAAACAGTGAAACAGAGCGAAGGGGCACAGCAAGTCTCAGATGACTCTCTCGATGAGGCAAACACTCTACAACAGAAGAATGAGTGGCAAAAAGTCGCTTACAGGCCGAATGGACGGCACGGTATGTGGAAACCAGTTCCTCCGCCACAAAGGTCACCGCAAGATGTGAGAATCTCCAGAGAAGCTTCCTGGGAAGAAAGAGAGAAACAAGATTGGCGGATGAGAAAGCATCTCGAGGAAATGGTAAAAGCTTCACAACCGAAAGTACTGGAAAGAGAAGAACCAATGTGACGAAAATAACCGTCAGTTTCGAGAGCGGATTGAGAAGGGTGAATTACCGCCTCAGTATGGTGAGAAAGTACCTTTACAAAGGTCACTAAATGGTGGATTTTTCATGTCAAGACCGGAAAGGTCACCGGACTTAGCGCAAACTCCGCAGAAGGAGAAGTCGTATGACATGACAGAAGCAATCCGGAATGACAACGAAAGGTCACCGCCAAGAACTGACGGATTGTCATCTCAAATCGATCCCACTCGCACGAATAACGAAATTGCGAAAAAGATTACGGAATGGATGAAAGAAAACGACCATAAGATGGTTGTGTACGAAAGGTCACCAGAGAAAAAGAGTGAAGATGACGAGATGACCTTTGCGGATGAAATTACGCAAGAGATAATGGCAGAGTTGCAAGAAAAACCGTCCAAAGATGTGCGCAATGAAAGGTCACAATACGAAGTTATTGCGCAAGTGATAAAAGGTCACGAGAACGCACAAGAGAAGGGTTTAATGTGCGAAGTGGCAAAGGTCACGGGCAAAGAAATCGCCGCGAAAGAGCAGACGAACACCTTACCGAAATCAAAGGGGATAGAAAAGTTCTCAGACGTGCGACCCGACGTACCGAAACGGATAGATCGTTGGAGCTCAAAAGGTCTGATAGAGAGCAAGCATGCTGCACCAATCCCAGTCAAGTGTCGAATAAGAGTCTTGAAACTCGAAGATGGAAACTTACCGAAACGTATCGAAGCTTATACACATGAAGTCAAAATTGGAAATAAAAAGGTCATGGCAATGCTTGACACTGGCGCAGAGACGTCTTTGATTTGTCAACAGTTCTGTGAAAGGAATGGCCTCCAGACTGTAAGACTACCACCGAAAAAGAAGGTGATGATCAAAGGGATCAGCGGAACGTCAGGCTTCGAAGTAACGCACTACTGCGTAGCACCAGTGACCTTAAGAAGGAAAACGAGTCAACACTCGTTCTACGTCAGACCAGCGTCAGACGATGTTCAAGTTCTATTGGGATTCGACTTCCTCGCAAAGAAATTCATCCTGATAGACGGGGATGACGAGGAAGAACGAGAAACTGAAGCCGAAGATGACGAGCCGAAATCCTCTGCAAAAGTCAATGCAGGAAAGGTCACCGAACTTCAACAAAGAAATAATTCGGGGCAAACGGCTATCCCAGTACCAGAGGCACAGGGATCGAATGATAAGAAACAAAATGAGAATGGTAAAAATCTAATCCCAGTACCAGAGGCACAGGGATTAGAAAAGGCTGAAAGAAGCAAAAGGTCACTGAAGTCGAAAGGGACACAAAGGTCACCAACAATGGAACAAATCAAGATTATGCAAGCAGAAGCACTGATTGCAAAGAAACAGTCGCTAGTGCCAGGAATGGAGTGGTCAAGGCTACTCCCAGTACCAGAGGCACTGGGCACGAGAATGGTTGGGCCCAGGACAGAGCCAGGACTGATGAACAGCGACGAAAGAGCATTATTCTCGGAAATACGAGATCAAGCCAGGAAACAACTGGATGCGAAGAAAATAGAGCATGGTTCTCAACATATTTTCGAACCACGCACTGTCGATGAAACACGCAACAAAGCAAGAGGGCG